TAATAAAACCATTTTCTGCTGCTTTTTGATACCAATAAAAGGCTTTTTCTAAATTCTTTTCTGTTCCTTCTCCATTTTCATAACGCATGGCTAAAGTAAGCATTGCTTCTTCATTACCATTTTCTACTGCTTTTTGATACCAATAAAAGGCTTTTTCTAAATTCTTTACTGTTCCTTTTCCATTTTCATAACGTAAGGCTAAAATAAGTACTTTTTTATAACAATAAAAGACTTTTTCTAAATTCTTTTCTGTTCGTTTTCCATTTTTATAACATATGGTCAAATTAATAATTGCTTTAATATAATCTTTTTCTGCTGCTTTTTGATGCCAATGAAAAGCTTTTTCTAAATTCTTTTCTGTTTCTTCTTCACCTTCATAATGTATGACTAAATTAAGCATTGCATCTTTAAGACCATTTTCTGCTGCTTTTTGATACCAATAATAGGCTTTTTCTAAATTCTTTTCCATTCCATTTCCATAATGTATGGCTAAATTGAACATTGCTTCTTTATTACCATTTTCTGCTAATTTTTCTAAAGAATTAATGCATTCTTTACACCATAATTTTTTAGTAAAAGGTTTATTGCAATATAAACAATTTTTGATATTTAAATTGCTAAATTTCGTTTCCATTTTATAATTTAAAAACTTACTTTATTGAAAGAATTTATTTTTTGACAAATTTTTTATATCATCATGAATTAGTTACTAAAAAGGAATACTTTACCAAAAGTAGAAGTAATAATAAAAAAGTAAAATAAAATTAATTTTTTTTTGGGTCATATTTTTTCCGGTAAGTGATCTGCATTGAGTTAAAATCAACGCACCGACAAAAATTTAGCGATCACGTGACATACTTTTAAATCATCACAGACAGCACACCCCGTCAGATTTCTATTTATCTGAGGGACTTAGGTTTTTTTTTTTGAGTAGGTAAAATCTTATTTGTTTATTTCACGTGTTTATGCATAAATGCCGTAGTGCTAAATTTTTGTCGGTGCGACTAAGGTAGTTGTTAGAATCAATAGATAAATAGTCACTTTTTCTATCATAGTTAGATAATATTATTTTGAACTAAAAATTTCAGATGACAAATTAATTTCACTTAGGCAAAACTACATTCTATGCCAGAAGTTTTTACTTATTTAATACGTGATTCATTTTGTTCAGCTGTGTCATAAAGATCTTCATGTGACACAAATTTACTGCGCTCTAAAATTTATATAATCAACATGTTTAATTTTTGATTTACATAAGCATTACATAAGTCACAATATGATTGGGGACAAACATTAAAAAATTTTTTCTATACAATAATTTGGTCTTCTTTTAAGCAAAAAATATATTAAATATGATTCTGATAATATTTGATAATATCCGTTGTGGGTCACACTTTACACAATAATTTCTGGAATTTTTTATTGTAAAATTGAAAGTACACATGTTTTACAATCAGTTTGAGTTTAAAGTTCCTATAATATGTATAATAAATTAATGTGAATTAGTTATATTATTTGAAAAATGTAAAAAATAGACAATTTTATAAACATTATTAGTTTTAAAATATTTTTAAAATATTATAGATGTTGTTTTATCGGCAGGTAGTAATTGTAGTAATTGAGACCTGGGCGATCATCGCTTGGGTTTTTTTTTCAATTATGTCACAATGTCACATGATGTACAATATATAGAGTAAATTTATCAATCGACTGATGGCTGATTGTCTTAACTTAGCTAACTTTTGATCGGTTAAACTTAAAATTTTATTGCGAAGATATTTTTAAAAAATTTTTTTGCAAACATATTTAATTCAAAATAATCTTATTTAATGAGATTTTATTTGCAAATATTAAAACTGAATTTAAGTCACATTTTCGATTTTAAAGAAAAAAATCACCATATTTATTTTTAATGAATTGATACAAATAGAAAAAAACAATAACAATAAATAAAAAGATAAGTAAATTATAATGATCAGGGAGCAAGATGCTAATAAAAAATGAAACAACAATGGAGTAATGGAAAGTAATAGAAGATGAAAGGGAGTAAAAAAGAGCAATAAGAAGTGATAGGAAACAAAAAGGAGAAACAGGACATGATGGGAGATAAAAAGGAGTGATGGGAGACGAAAAGAAGTGATGGGAGACAAAGAGGAGTGATGAGAGACAAAAGGAAGTGATGAGAGACAAAAAGAAATGATGAGAGACAAAAAATAAAAAAATGATCATGATAAGAGGTTGGGTAATGATAGGAAACCAAGTAAAAAATAAACCATAAAGTAAAAAAAAATGAAGTTAGTAAGAAACGAAATATAAGATAAAAAC